ACTCAATGATTATCCTAATTATATTTTAGATTTTTTATATTTAAAATTAGATGTTTATCATGTATTTGATTGTATTTATCTGCAGTTAGTTACACGAATTCAGATATGRGATGAAATCGGATAGGGATGAAATCTGGTTTAAGAGTTTTTAAGAGTTTTTAAGAGTTCTAAGAGTTTTAGCCAAATGCTTTATAATATAGTATAGATATAATATTTATATATGTTAAATAGAACAAATAATCTTACACACCCTTCTTACTTTTGATGATGTGTGAACCTCTGACCTACTATGAGGTCAAAAACTCATATATCGCTAGATCAAATGCCATTTGATTTAATGTAACATTTAGACTGCGATAAAAAATATAAGACCAACACGTAACATATTTAGAAGTTGCTATTATACGACCACACTTTTTTTGGCATACTGTAATTTGCTTTACAGTCCTTAATAAAGCCATTATTTCATCAATCTGTTATAGTGCAATCGTGTGACTAGAAAAATAATCTTCTTAAACCACCTTTAGACATGACACGATTAAGACAAAAATACATTATTATTATTATTTTTTTGTCCCATAATAATAAGTGGAACAAAAATCAAAAAGATTAATCAAGATTGATATATTACTAAAACAAAAAGGATATCTCGATTTTAATGTTTCATTTTTTTGTCGTAGTCGAGTTATAATACGGTTTTATGTGGCTTTGAAAAAACAATAATGTTTTTATTTTTGAATAAAATATAAATATGAAGATATCATAAAAAATAAAAATAAAAAATATTGATATTAGTACCAAACTGAATATTTAAAATTTCTCTTTTTTTTGTGTATTTCCTTAATTTATTTTTTCATTTTTTGTTTAATAATATATTTTTTTATAAAAATAATAATTAAGTATTTTGTTAGAACTCAATGATTATCATAATTATATTTTAGTTTTTTTATTTTGAAAATTTAATATTTTTCTTCTATTTGATTATGTTTATCTAAAGTTAGTTACACGAATTCAAACATAAAACTTTAATAAGTTGTACTTACGTACAATTTACTTGTAATGTTGAATTTTATGTAATATGCATCAATAGACAGTACTTCATGCAACAAAAATAGGTTTTAAGAGTTTTTGTCAAATGTTTTATAATATAGTATATATATTAATATCAAATTAAAACTTTAAAACTTTGCATAATTTTTCACCCATCGACATGTCTCTTATACATCCAGTCTGATCTCGTCTATATACCAAACGCTCTTATTCTTCCTTTCGTTCTTTAACTTTTTGTTCAAATAAATTGTTTGTATGCTAAAACTTGGAATTGTTTGATACCGTCATTTTGCATCTGATTAAATCCTCGTAACTTTTCCATTCAATAAACGGTTTTAATATGAAGTAAGTTAAATGCACATCTATTATCTATACTATATTATAAAATATTTGACAAAAACTCTTAAAAACAACTTTTTTATACATGAAGTATTGTTTATTGATGCATATTACATAAAGTTCAAGATTACAAATAAATTGTGTGTAGATACAACTTATTAAAGTTTCATGTTTGAATTCATGTAACTAACTGCATATAAACACAGTCAAATACAAGATAAACATTTTATTTTAAATATAAAAAATTAAAATATAATTAGGATAATAATTGAGTTATAACATAATACCAAATTATTATCCTTATAAAAATTATATATTATTAAATCAAAAATAAACTACTTCATTATTAAACTATAATAA